TGTACAAATTTAACAGTCTCATGTGGAGTTAGTGTTGGCGAATGTTCCATATTCATCTGGAGAGTGGGTAGGTTGTCTTCTATCAAGTTTCAGAAGTCCATAGAGCTACAGGAAAATTAGCTTTCATAAATCTTTTCAATGTATTATTTCCCATATGATTATTGTTGCATCGAAAACAGTGTGTTCCAATCTACTATTGTTCCTGAGCTTTTCCTTATCCATTGCATTACTCAGATCTCACTAAAGCAGTGGTTCTCAGTCTTCCCAATGTTGTGATCCTTTAATCCGGTTTGTCATATTGTGGTGACCTACGACTACAAAATTATTTAATTGCTACTCATAACTGTAATTTTGCTATTTTTATGGACCACAATGTAAATATCTGTGTTTATTTATAGTCTTATCTGATCCCTGTGAAAGGGGTCAAACTCAAAGGTTGAGAACCACTGATCTAAAGGAATATAATTGGTAGAATGTGCCTCCCAAAACCAACAATGGCTCTGTCTGGCAGAAAAGCCATAAATGGTAGTTGTTCAGTCAACAAGACTGGATGTCTCAGCAGTCCCAGTTTGGCACTGGAGATCTAGAGGATTCTTAGGGACCTGCTACTTTTCTTCAGTCACTATTGGAGTCCCAAAAATGTAGGTTCTAACTCCAACAAAGGGATGCCTCAGAAGCAGGGTAGATGACATTGCTGATAAGAATGAGAGCAAGCAAAAATAAAAGCTTTCCTCTTCCACGTCCTTTGATGTGGACTTCCAACAGAGATGATGATTAGGGTGAATATTCTCACCTCACATGATCCAATCAAGAAAATCTCTCACAGGAGAGTCCAGATACTTGAGTTTTAGTTGATTTCAGATGTAGTCTTAGTGACAACCAAGATTAGCCATCACATTCCTCAAAAAAATGCCACATTATTGGTATATTTCTTGAAAAAGTAACATTTTGCCACTAAAGTTGATCCCATAGAATTATTGTGGGTTTCAAAAATATCTCTTAATTGCATATTCTTTTAAGCATTTCTCAAATATCAGAATTTTTATCTCAGGTTACCTTTTATTTGTAATTGGCTATTATTTTTTGTTCATTTCTAAGTGTTCAGTGTAACATTTAAGGGATATGTGCTTAAAAGTCAGTATTTTAAGATTTTATCTTTTTTTCTGTCAATTATGTTTTATTTTATTTTATTTTTTATTTTTTATTGAAAAAAATTTCCGCCTCCTCCCTGCCTCCCATTTCCCTCTACCTCCTCCCACTCCTCTCCCCCTCCACCCACTCCTCTCCCCCTCCCTCTCCAGTCTGAAGAGCAGTCAGTGTTCCCTGCCCTGTGGAAAGTCCAAAGTCCTCCCCCCTCCATCCTGGTCTAGGATCATTGGGCTACCAGGCGACCCTGTTTATGTGCTGAGGAGTTCCATCTGGACGGGTGAGTGTGTGCTATCCAGGGGCAGATTGTCCAGGAAAAGAGCACAAACCCCCCTCCCCCAGCTCCTTCTGCAGGGCTGTCTTTCTTACACACGGCCTCCCCCCAAAGCCTGCGTTTTCTGAAAGGTTCTTTGCTCAGGAACAGTTTTCTGCTCCTACATTAAGGCTACCCACCCAGAGAGGTGAGTGTCTGCCAACCGGGCAGGCCTCAAGGACCCCCCGAAAGGGAGCACGTGCACCTTCAGCTTGTTGGCATGGTGTCCTGTGTTCTACTTGTCCCCGCCCTGCCCCCCAAGACCCCCCTTTTGTCCGCGGGTCATTGGACTACCAGGCGTCCATGTTTTGGTGTTAAGATTTTATCTTAACAGGTAACCTGAAGAGTATTTTTCTTTGCTTGATGTATTCATATACATTTACATTTATTATGAAATCAATACTCTTGGTCACTTAGAATCATCTCTATTCTATTACATGAAAAGCCATAGGTAGCACTTACCTTAATGATGTCTGTGAGATGTTCTGTATCCTAGATACAAGGATTCCTTAATCTGGTGCATGGTTTTCAAACTTGTATTCCCCATCAGGGCATTGTCTTCATTTATCAACCATTACGTGGAAGAGCATACAGCTGACACTTGATGGACGTCCTAACAACAAGCTTCTCAACTTATAAAAAGAGGTTTGTTATATCTAAGAAGTTTGGTTTTTATTGCTTTTATTGAGCTATACATTTAGCTCTGCTTTCCTACCTTCCTATACCCTCCCCTTCCTCCTCTCCTTTGACCCCCCCCCCCCCCCATGGCCAGTTTTCTCAGGAATTCTTGTCTTTTTCTCCTTCCTATGTAGACCAGCAATGTCTCTCTTTCTTGTCTAGGTTGTCTGGGGTTGTGGAAAGTAGGCTGGTTTTTCTTTGCTTTTTATCCAAAAGTCACTCATGAGAGAGTACATATTACATTTGTTTTTCTGGGTCTGGGTAAGAAGTTTGTTTTGAATCCATGTTCCTGAGCTTGAAGGTATTTAGGTTGTTCCTCAGTCTGTTCCTCACTGCCTTCACATCCTTCATTGCACCGTTTATCATAGCTAGTTCTGTTGCTCTTTCTCTCCCATTTCTCCACCACACATTTTGCTCACCATAATGGCTTCCTGGAAGTAGCGGGTCGACCTGTGAATGTCTTCCCCAGCCCAGGCTTTGACAATGCAGGCTTGCCTGTGGGTGTGTGGCACCTGCCTGAACAGAATGGTGTCAGGCAGCCTGGGGATATCTTCCCGGCACCCAATGACTGCAATGTTTTAAAAATTGTGTGTATATTGTAAGCATTGCTGCTCAGATGGAAAGGGATCCTGGCAGTCAGGAGCCAAGGAATACCACAAATTCACCTTAAACTTAGAAGCTCACAGCCCTGCTTCAGGGAAAGCTTTTCCCAAATTAACAGCTCTGCTCTGGTAGGGGAGGGTTTCCCTAGCCAAGTTGTTACAGCTCTGCTCAGATCCTCAGAAGAGTAACAACTCTACTCTGCTAGGAGAAGCTTTTCCAGTTCTGCTCCCCTCTCCTCCACTCGTCTCCAGTTGAAGTCATTGCTTCTCTGTTCTTCTTAGGCAAAGAAGGTCTCACCCAAGCCTCATTCAAGAGATTCACTGGGAGGGAAGAGTCCAGGAGGTGGCTGACCCTGCAAAAGTGGGAAAGGCAGCTCCCAACTGAACAGGTACAGGGTGGTTTCATGCTCAATGATCTGCTGGTTTTCCTGCTCAGGGATTGGTTGGTTTAATGCTGAGATATTGGTTAGTTTGTTTTGCCGAATTGGTAAGTGGAAGAGTGTGTTTCTGTAGCTTTGGTTTCAGGGGCAAATGTGTTTATTTCACTGGCCTTTTTTAAACGTTGGACTCTGGTTTCAGGGCCAGTGAACTGATTCTAGTCTCAGGGTCAGTGTATGTTTCTTTTGCTCTGGTTTCAGGATTAGGGTGTGCTGCTTTGGACAGAAACGGGTGTTGCTCCCCTAGAAACAGATATGCAGTCCATTGTGGGCCAGCAAGTGAGTGCTGAGAACCCAGTCCGGGTCTTCTGTAAGAGCAGCAAGTCCTCTTAACCATGGGGCCATCTCTGCAGTCCAAGTCATCAAATATTAAACGTAATTACTATTTTTCTACTTTTCCCCATAATGACAATAGACATCTTCTTATACTCAGGTAGGTAAAAGTTTCATTATTATTTACCAATCCATAAAGTTTCATTTCTATGTTAGTTAGGTTTTCACTCCCAATCACTACCCTACCCTGTCTGCAGGAAATTACAACAATCTGATATTATACCAGCACTCGGGAGGCAGAGGCAGGCGGATCTCTGTGAGTTCGAGACCAGCCTAGTCTACAGAGCTGGTTCCAGGACAGGCTCCAAAACCACAGAGAAACCCTGTCTCAAAAAAAAAACCAATCTGATATTATAGACAAATTAATATATATGCTGGAATGTATTAGAATAGAACCAGAGTTTAGAGACATCTGGCCTTCATTCATCTTGAATATATGTTTAAATTTATCTATTTTGTTGCCTATGATAATTGTTCATTCTTAATATTAAATGGTGTAGCAATGTATAGCTACACAGAAAATTTTATAATTTATTTTTATTTTATATGTATATATGTTTGCCTACATATAGGTATGAAGAGCACATGCATGCCTGGTGCCCATGGATGCAAAGAGAGGATATTGGATCCCTTGGCACTGGAGTTACAGTTGGGAGCTGCCATGACAGTCTTGGGAAATGAGTCATTTACCTGTAGCCTGTTGTTTAGGTTGTTTTCAATTTCAGTGTCTTTTATATAAAGCTGGTGTGAACTGAAATAAATAAGTCATTAAAAGAAAATATGTCCTCTTCCTCCAGGTTATATATTTGGGAATGTGATGGTCAGATGACAATTAACATATGAAGACATTGGGAAATACTTTTCCAAGTCTCTGTCCTGTTTTCCATGGCCACCAGCAGTGGGTACGAGAGTTTCATCCTCCACAACCTGCCAGGTCTTTGTATGACAAGTCTTTATTTCTGAGTATTTTATGGGTGTGTCAAGAGTCCCCTCAGAGTCACCTGTCTCTCTTCCCTAAGTGTTAAGCATGTTGCGGCTGTATGTTTCTCTTAGTGGAGCATCTACTCACCCTTCTGGCCAACTTTTATTTTCTGAAATGTCTATTTTCTTACTGGCTCTTTTTGAGGTTTGGGAAATCTGGAAACAGTAAGACTGTCACCTGATACACAAGTTCCCACATTCATTTTCCCAGGCAGGAAAAATATGTTACTAACATATATTTGGAAGAGTGGACATTTTCTCACTTTATGGAGTTCTTAACAATCCAGTTGTTCATTTAATGAAAGGAGGTTTGTTATATCTAAGAAGTTAGTCTGTAATTCATTCGTTTTCTCCTACACGATTCATGTTTAGGTTGTATTCTTTTCAAAAAAATATTTATTTATTTATTATGTATACAATATTCTGTGTGCATGTCTGCAGGCCAGAAGAGGGTACCAGACCTCTTTACAGATGGTTGTGAGCCACCATGTGGTTGCCGGGAATTGAACTCAGGACCTTTGGAAGAGCTCTTGACCACTGAGCCATCTCTCCAGGCTCTAGGTTGTATTCTTGATCAATTATCTTTTAGATTTCTTTTCACTATGTACTGAGTGTCTGCCTGTATGTCTGTGTGTACGATATGCGCATTTGAGTGCCGATGTCCACAGAGACTAGAAAAGACTGTCAGTTCCCCTGGCTCTGGAGTTATAGGCATCTGTCGGCCACCATATGGGTGCTGGAAACTGAAGTCGGGTCATCTGCAATAGCCAAAGGCACTCTTAACCTCGGAGATGTCTCTAGTCCTGTGTAGATCCTTTGTTTGTTTTGGGTTGACTTTTGTATCCTGAGATAAACAACTTGTCTATATTTATATTTGTGCATGGGGATGTCTGCTTGTCCCAAAATAAGACAGAAGACAGGGCATTGAAGGGGATATGAGAGGGAATACATAGCCCCTCATCCTGTGATCATTTTTACATTTTTAGGACATTCAAGAAGCCTCAGCCCAACTGATAGAGCCAAAATTACCTGCAGATATGATGCAACTATTCCTAAAAACATCTCAAAGTAAGTTTAAAAATAAAAACAAACAAACTGGGGTCTGAAGATAGGGTTCATTATTTTATATTTCTGAATGTCTTCCAGAGGATCCAGAGTTGATACCCAGCACCTACCCAATGGTTGACACTGTTTGTAACTCCAGTTCCAAGACATCTCAAACTCTGGTTCCCTCTGTGAGCAGTAGGTACTCACTCATGTGGTGCACAAACTTCCCTATGGAAAAACATTCAACAAATATAAATAAATTAATTAATTGTGCTTACTTAGGACAAGAATACTTGTAAAATCACATATTAACCTTAAATTTAATTTACTAAAAGAAATTTTAAAAGCGATAAGAACATTTCAAAAGATTATTTTTTTATTTTTGACTTTTTAATAACATATTGTATATTTTTCCTAATGGGAAAACAGAACCCATTTAAAGACTCAAAGTATTCTTACATGTAATTTTAAAACAATGTAACTCTGAGAGCCATAAAAATCTTCACATTTCTCACTCTTCTGCCCTCCTCACACACCCTTTGTACTGACACCTAATCTCAAGTGTCTCTCTCTAGTCCTCACTGAGGCCGTCATGCATGAGCCATCCTTATTCTGTGTGAGCTTCTATCCACAGGATTAATAAGCTCACAACCTTTGCTTCATCCTGGCTTTTTCTGAAAGTTTTTTCTGCAGCCTAGACCCAGTTTACCAGGGTCAAGGTCATCAAAGGACAGGGTGATCCTCAGGCTGAAGGTCACGATGCTGGGCTGCTCCTCCCTACCACTACAGGGAGTCCCAAAAAACCTCGGTGACCAGCATATTCCTGCTTCATTGAAGTGTCTTTGTGTCTTTGCTAAAGGTGTCCCCTCACACGTGTGTGACTCTTCTGTCCCCTTCATATTCTTTTCTGTCTTATTGTCATTACCAATCAGGCACGCTGTCTTCATTTCTCTAGGTTTATAAGGAGTCTGGAAGTCATGTGTTCATCCTCCAAGATTTTTCCTTTTGAAGGTGTTTTCATGCTCTGGTTTTTCATATTCACTATGAGTTTCAGGATAAGCCCATTAGTTTATGAAAAGTCTGTTAGATTTCTGTTGGTATTGCACTGGATCTATAGGTCTTTTTGAGGAGAACAGACACCTGTATCTTCCATTGCATGAAGGTGATTGCAGAGTGAATTCTAATTGGTCTTAATAATAAAATCTGGAGTCAGATATTACGAGGTTGAATCTATAAGATCAGAACAGCAAAGCAGCCAGCTTCCAGTTCTTTCCTCTATGAAATCCTCAGACCAAATGGAGCATCCTGTCTCTACAAGACCTCAGACTGAATGCCTGGATCTCCTATCTCCTCCCACCTTATATTCCTCTCTTCAACAAACCCTGGGAAGAAAAGTGTGAGCCACCAGTGCCTGACTCTCTTTCTGTTTTAGACTGGATCAATCTAGTGTATCCCAGGGTGGCCTTGAACTCGCAGAGATCCATTTGCCTGTACCTCCTGAGTGTTGGGAAAGGTGAGTTCCAACACTGCCTGTCCTCTCTGGCTAACTAGTGGCTATCTGCACACACTGATTCTCAGGCAAGCTTTATTGTCATGGAAGAAACAAAATATCGCCACAGTCGACGAATCTATACATCTTTACTCTCAGCAATGATTTGTCCCATTCAGTGTCTAGGCACAACAGAGAAGCGGGCAGAGTTTTTCTAATTATTTCATATTTCCTGATGCTATCTCCAGTGACAGGGATTTTAAATTACAGCTTCCACACATTTCACTGTGGTCAAATGTCTGTGGGTAGATTTTAACAAAAGCTCTCTTTTAGGTTGAAATGTCAGGTTTCTTTCTCTATGATGAAAATGTCTTTGAAAACATATATTTGCTTATGTTTCAATTTCAGTATTTTGAAGTTGCAAGTTAATTATGAGAAAAGAAACAAATGTCCAACACCCAGTTTGGGGGAAATTTTCTAAGGCAGCCACAGGTCTAATGTTTGCCCAAATGGAATCTTTGGAATCATAGAGATACTCCTTCACCTCCCAGCCAGCTCCATCAGGTAGGTGTTGAGATCACAGTGGAGAGAAAGAAGGGGATACATGTGAAGAGTTAGGTATGTATGTGTAACTCCAGAAAGATTTGTATTATGTAGAATAAGTAGGTAACTTTTTTCAAAATATCTAATAATATTTTTGCCAACACAAAAGGGTCAAGGTTAGTACTCGTGTGTTTTCCCTCTTGTTTTCCCATCCAGTCATGCAGATTTTAGCAGTGTCTGCTGTAGACTGTTTACAGAGGGGGTGTTTTATGGATGGGTCTTGCCATATGGATTATTACCATGACGCCTGCTAAGTGTTGCTCTGATACCTACTTCCCTGTGCAGTTACTAGTATACAAGCATTGCTTGTCTTTGAGTAAAGTTTCCCTTTTATCTTTTGTTTATTAATGGATTTACTCATGCGTTTGTGTCCACTCAGAAACACCCATTTTTTAAAGGAGTACCACTTTGTCATCATTATATACTGTGATGCTTAAATTATCCCATAACATGCCCGTGCAAGGACACACATTCAAGTGGACCTGCTCTTCACTTGTTATCTGTCTAGAATTCTGGATTATCTGACCACCCCCAGAAGACAGTAATCACCAAATGCTAGCTGTCAGTGACACTTTGTCTCCTCTTTCTGTCAATATCAGGTCTCTTCTATGATAAGAACAACAGGAAGGCAGAGAGAACACGCAGAAGGTTGACAAGAAGCTGACATGAGCCCTTGTTTCCAGTATGTGAGTCATCAGTGCCACCAGTGTGAGTGTGTGTGTGTGTGTGTGTGTGTGTGTGTGTGTGTGTGTGTGTGATGTGTACATGGGTGTGTATAGGAAGGGTCTGTGAGATGAACAAAGAAGAGGAAGATGTCACTGCACATCTTTGACTTGACTGGATGCAGACAGACTACTCCATCCCTATATTCAGTACAGTAGAGTGCATGAGCGTTCTCATCGCCTTCTTCCCCTCCCCATGAGATTTCTCTCCCCTTACTCTGCCTTCTAGTAGAACAGGGGAGAAAACAGTGAACTCTCCATGCAAATCCAGCTCCTGGAGAAGAACCAAGTGTGGTGTGGTCTTGTCAGCCTGTTACCTGAGCAAGAGTGACAAGATCATGTGGGACTCACCAGGTGAGTCATTTCCTTTTCTCTTCCCATCCATGTGACCTGCAGCGGATCTGCGATGCCTTGTAGGAACACATCCTGTTGCAGCAGGGTAGCAGCAAGAGCAGCACACTGTGGAACAATGGCATTCATAGACTCCCCAGATGACAGAAGTCTGCATGGGTTCCTTTAAATGACCAGGACTGAAATGGAAGCCATCCCTTCAGACCATTTCCTGAATGGGTCATGCATTTCTGCATCACATTTGCAGGGAGTGCTTATTAAAATGGTAGAAATCTGGGTCCACACTAGACACCGAATCAAACCCTGTGAAGTGTGGTGTGGCATAGCCACTTCTTTCTGATGGCTGTCCACGTTAAAAAGTATTGCTACTGTGTTTGTTATTCTGTCTTCTAGGATATGGAGTCACAGACTGCTTAATTCCATACCGTGTTCTCTTGCTACTCCCGTAAATACCAGTGTGTTACATGGCATGTCAAATACGCATCAATTCCTTCATATATATTTATCCAGATATTCACATACTGGCCTCTTTTGTGAGCACCTTGTTCCTGCACTGTGAAGACTAGCACGGGTTCCTGTATTTTGTGTTAGATAGGCAAACTGTCAGTAAGCAGAAGAAATCAGTAATCAGAGCAATTCCATTTATTATTGGCGCTTTAAAGATCATAAAGGGGACAGGAAATAGTTGTGATGGAGATTGTGGTACGTGATGTTACCCCCTAAAGTTTTCAGAAGTTAGCATGTGATCTGAGTCCTGAATGGCAAAAAGAAGCAAGGCCATGCATAAGCCATGTTATGGGCGTGCTTGCCCCCATGGAGAACAGTGGATCTAAGAGCAGGGGACAAGGCCAGTGGCCAGAGCCTTGAAGACAATGTGGACACTGCTTGGGGATAGGGTAGAAAGGAAGATGTGTGTCGTTTTCAGCTGACTATGACATTTGGATTATATGATCAGTGTGGAAGGTGAGTTATGGAATTGACATGATTTGATTCCTTTTGGTGGAAGGTGACTTGGCACTGCACAGAGAAAGGCCTGGGGAGGGCGGGATGAGGGAGTGTGTGGAGACAGTGGAGATGGTTCAGAAGACAGGGGAGGGATGGAAGTGGATTGAAAGAGGGATGAAGCCATGCTGCAGTGATCAGCGTGAGAGCTGCCCTGTGCAGCCTTGTCTGGGAGAAGGCAGATAGCACCTGTATGCGCTGTGCATTTTCCTTGTGGAGACGTTGCTCTAACATCTCTGGATTTGTCTGACCACTTGGAGACACAGTGCTTCCGTTTACTGACATCAGTTGTTCCACGTGTATTTGACACAGGGTAGTTTGAATACCCAAACTAGTTGTTGTAAAACTTAGTAATTTAACAACGTGTCAGCTGATGAATAATTTTCAGATGTAAACTTTTCTAAGTAAAACTAACTGTAGAAGAATTTCCAAAAGAATAAGAATCTAACATTTGTCTAACGAAAAGCAAACCTAACGTTTAAAGTATTTTTGAAAGTGGTTGTTCTACAGCATGTACTGCTCTTGGCAGTTTTACGGATGAAGCGAGTAGGCTTTAGGCAGAGTCAAAGTGAAATCAGTCTCTAGGTGCTGCAGCTCCTGCTTGTCCCTATTCTTTCTCCAGGAGACTACTGCCTTTAGAAATGCGTATTTTTGACAGGTGGGCGTGGCACACACATTTAATCCCAGGACTCACGAGACAGAGCAGTATGATGTCTGAGTGCAAGGCCAGCCTGTAATTCCAATTGCATACATCAACATTAGTCTGTCACATATGCAGGAACTTCTGACTGGCATTTAGAGCAGATGTTGTAACTAAAGGCCCATAAAATCAATGAGTGAGCATTCTAATGCTCTCAATTCAGAGTGGTAAGCACAGCTCAGAGATCACAGCTCACTCTGTTTCGTGCCTCACAGATATGCCCAGCCTGTGTTTGGAAAATGGGTCCAGCACATCCAGGCTCAGGGAAGCAAAGTTGCTGGGCCTAGGAAGGTTCCACATCTCTCTGACTCTAGAACAGTGGTTCTCAGCCTGTGACTTGTGACCTCTATCCCCCAAACTATCTATCCCCCCCCAAACGTCTATCCCCCAAACTATTTCCATTATGATTCTTACCTGTAACAACTTTACAGCGATGAAGTAGCAACAGCAATAATTTTCTGGTTGGGATCACCACACATGAGGGACTGTATTAAGAGTCATGTCACAGCATTAGGAAGGCTGAGAACCACTGCTGTACAGATATCCAAACACAGAATCCGGCTTCTCAGATATGTCTGGGATCCCTTCATCATTGTCCCCATACTCCTAGGGAGGCACAGCCCCACATCAGGACACCCACACTCACATCTCCGTGCAAGGGAAATCCTGTTCTTCTTTCTCCGTCATTTCTATATCCACACACTATGCTATATTTCCAAATTTTCTTTTTTTATGTCTTCAGCACTGAGCTTAAGGATGTGTCTGATTCTTTGACCAACCTTTTTCCTGTTTTGTGATTCTTCTGCAGGGTCTGGGTCATTGTTCTGCACACACAACCACAGAGAGTACAACAGCAGCCTCCAGTCCCTTGTTGCTGACCTTTGAGGAAGCTGGGCATGTAAGGTAGGTTTGCTCTCAGGAGACTTGCTCTCGGGAACAGGATGTCCTTGCCAGAGGCTGGACTCGAGGATGCTGCAGCACATAGATCTGCCCAGCATCTGTGGCCCTGTCCGAAGCTCTTCAAAACTGTGGTGGGAGCACATGTGGGGATTTTTAAAAGTGGTCCCTAGACACTGGTATGGCTCCCCTGGCAGTGCAGGACATTCCCAGCTATATTCTTGATTTTTCTGGTAGCTGTTCAATGAGAATGCTATACCATGAAAAGAAATCACTGGTGAATTTAAAAAGCCACAGTATGGGGACTGGCGACATAGCTCTCGAGGCAGAATGATTGCCTAGAATGGAAATTGCTCTGTGTTCTTTGACCCTCTGGGCATGTTCACCCTCACCTGTAATACCAGCACTCAAGACGTAGAGGCAGGAGGAAAGAGATGTGAGAGTCATTACTGTTTATGAGCGTATGGGTCCCAGCACCCATGGCAGATAGCTCACAACTGCCTTTAACTCCAGCTCCATCAGGAGTCAATGCCTCTGCCCATCATGTGCATACGACAGACAGACAGACAGACAGACAGACAGACATAATTAAAAGTAAAAATAAATCTAAACAAGAAAAAAGAAGAATCAGCTCCAGGTCATTGAACCAAGGGGAAAACACAGTGGAATTTAAAATATGAACATTATAATGGCTAATGGACTTTAACAGTCTACAGTCTTGCTGGAGAGATGTTCAGTGGTTAAGAGTGCATTCTATTCTTGCTGAGGACGCAAGGTCTGTTTCCAGCATCCATTTCCAAAATCCGTGATGGACCGTACCTCAGCTCCAGGAAGGTATGACCTCTCCTGACCTTTGTAGGCATGTGCATTAATGTGTAAATACACACACAAATATACACAACATAATTATTATTAAGTTATGCACATTCTTTGCCTTAAAATCATTTACAAATTAAAATAATTGCTGTGAAACATTAAAGAAAAATGCTCAAATGCCAGGCAATAATGAGAACAGTTTTCATTCGCATTATGTGGCAAATGCGTGCACTTCCAGCTATTTGAACACTGGGGTTACAGGATCATGACTGCAAAGAAGTTTCAGAACAGCCTGAATAGCATAGAGAGGCCCTGCCTCAAAATGAAAACCAAACAAAAACCAATAATATCTCAGAAAATGTGAAATTTCTTAGGAAAACAATCTTAGAGTACATGGTTTTTCAAGAGATGTGGATCATTATAAAATAATTTTTTGCAGGGAAATCAATGATAAAATTACTTATTTCGTGGGAATTCAACCATATACATGTAGAAATGGAATGAAAATGTTACTGGGCCGAGAAGAAAACAGTAGCATTAAGAATGTGTTTACATTAAAATGAATACTTGAGCTGGAGCAGTGTGCTAAGCTGGGAAGACCAGCAGCACTCTGAAGGCTGAGGGAGGAAGGGGAAGAGTCCCAGGCTGGGCTGGGCTGCTCTGAGACTCTGCACTAAACACACAAAGTAGATATCAGGACTATTATCATTCCATTCACTGTGGGAAAGTTTCAACTTAGTTCTGTCATGGGAAAACATCCTCTTTTCACTGGATGTTAGGCAGAGCCCTGTGTGTCCCTGGCAGACACATTAAAGATTACCATCCCCTAAATGGGGAAGTGACTTCCTCACCACCACATACAGCAAGGCGCACAGAAAATGGCGGCTGGGACTCTACTCAGATAGCTCACTCTCAGGAGATTTCCCTGCAGACAGCCCTGTGCCTTAGGGGTAGGAATAAGCCCAGCAACAAACACAGATTTCCTTATGGTAGTACATGTGCTTTCCTGTGGTGTTTGAAATTTCATATCCAGGAAGGAAAGTACTTTAAAGTGTAATCTGAGAAAATACTTGTGCTTGGGTGGTAAAAGTAGGGCTGGGGAGACAGCTAAATCAGTAAAGTGCTGGCCTTGTGGGCATGAGGCCTTGAGTGTCATTCCCAGAGAGCATCATCCAGAAAATGAAGATAAACTACAGGAGGAAAAGTAGCAGGTGTGGCGGGACATGCTTATGTGTGAAGGTGGAGGCGAGCCCATCCCTGGAGTGTGCTGACGAGCTAACCCATCCTGCCTTGCGTGTTCCAGGCCAGTTGGAAACCTTGTCTAAGAAAAACATCAGGGGGATGGCGCCTGAGTTACAGCACCGGAGGCTGTCTTCTGTCCCCTGACCTCACGCGCGCGCACACACACAAACACACACACACACAATTGCTCACGCACTCACAGGCATGCTCGAACCCACAATCGCGCTTTGGATAAATGATTATACACCTTCCATACTTCAGGAGAAGTAGTCATTTTGTTGAGTTTCTGGAGTAGTAAAGACGAATGTAATCTATTCTGATGCTGTGTGCATGCCTCTGTGTGTGTGTGTGGTGTGTGTGTGTGTGTGTGTGTGTGTGTGTGTGTGTGGTGTGTGTGTGTGTGTGTGTGTGTGTGTGTGTGTGTGTTTACACACAGAGCTCCACCATCTCTATCTAATGAGGCTGCTTTATGTTAGCCTTAGACTGGGATTGGTCTCCAATCTCGGGTTTACATTTGATATACCTAAGATGTCCAGTTTTATGTGCCAGGAAAGTATAATGAAGTGAAAAAACACTGCCTTATCTTATCTAAGGTCCCTTCAAGTCCAGGTTACAGCCAATGTTCCCTCCCACCCAAATATAGACGCCACTGGGCCCAAGACTCTCACTGATGTAGTCCCCATTATGGCCAGGAGGTGGCATTCAAACTACATGCCTACATTTATTTTCTTTAAAAGGGCTGAAGTTTTATGGAATAGCAATGCGTTTTTAGTGTGTTTGGAAAGCTGGCACACATATAGAGCAGTTCCATTTATGGATTGCAGCAACTGTAGTGCTCCACAACTCACTTCATCCTCCCTGAGTGTAAAGTGGGCAGTGCACACGGGATACAGAGTGGTGCTCTGTAGAGAATATGAATGTGGTGGGCACCTTGAATCCCCTGACTCTGGGATAAATGGATTTCCTAGATTTTATATCCCCTCTCCAGGAGGCTGTGGTACAGTCCCCAGATCGCTGCCTCCCAGGCAAGTTGTATCCTGGTCAGTCACTGCAATTGTGTTGCACCATGCCTGCTGGGGACTTCCAAGAGCAACCTGGTGTTTGTGGTGTGGTTGCCAAGTACGCTTCCATGGTGTTTGTGGTGTGTTTGCCATGTACTTTTCGATGAATATGCTCTGCATATGGCTCAGATGTAATATGTATTCACCCTTACGATGTAGAACAAGATTGGGGCCCCTTCTCTATTGCAGGAAGATCTCCAAAGTATTTCCTTTACCTCACCATCATTTTGGAGCCACTAATTTGATATTGAAAGAGAAATTATCCCCTGTGCCCTACAAGAAGAGATAACACAGAAGAAAAGAGGCAGGAACCCCAAGTCCATTGACAGCCACAGGACATTGTCTGAGCTACTGTTCTGTTGCTGGGAAGAGGCGCTGTGCTGAAGAGAATTTACAGAACAAAGCATTAAATGGGGAGCTTACTTTCAGTGTCAGAGGGTTAGTCCAGTACCATCACTGTGGGCAGCATGGCAGCAGGCAGCCTGGCAGGGCACTGTAGCAGAAACTGAGAGTTTACATCCTGATCACAGGCAGGAGGCAGAGGGCTTTTGAGACATCAGAACTCACCCAGTGACACGCCTCGTCCAATAGGGCCACACATCCTAATCTTTCTTAAATTATTCACCATTGAAACATTAACCATAGGAGCTTACGGGGACCATCCTCATTCAAACTACCACTGTCATGTAAGGGATTTCCTCTGCCCCATTAGCAGCTACAGAGGGAGAATTGGGGCTGGTTGAATACTCATAAGTGCATTGACTAGAATCTGTTCCAAGATGTCAGTCATTAATACAAGAGACTACTGTGTGACATTTGGGGCAAGCAGGAGGCCATTCCAGTTACTTGTCTAAAATAATGTGCTCTTCAGAAGACAGTAATCCCCTTTTGGCCCTCTTCATGGACAAACCTGCGTATACTAAAACTGTAAAGACCTTGAGCACACAGGAATTTATGAAACACCATCTGTCTTGGTCACTGTTCTATCGCCGTGAAGAGAAACCATGAGCAAGGCCACTCTTATCAAAGAAAGCATTCACGTGCCTTGCTTATAGTTTCTGAGGTTGGTCTGTTACCATCACGGCAGGGAGCATGGTGGCACACAGGCAGACATGGTGTTGGAGAAGTAGCTGAGAGTTCTATTACCTGATCCACAGGGAGAGAGAGGCTGACACTGGGCCTGACATGGGATTTTGAAATTCAAAGCCCACCCCCAGTGGCACACTTCCTCCAATGATGCCACTTCTACTCCAACAAGGACACCACATCATCTAAGCCTTCTCAAAGAGTGCCCCTCCCTGGAGACTAAGCATTCAGATGCATGAGCCTATGGGGACCATTCTTATTCAAACCTCCACACCACCTCCAGACTCCAAGAGATTTGAGCTCTGTGTTTGCCAGGCGCATATCCCTGGGAGGGTCTACGCTGTAACTATGAGAACATTAGCAGACAAAAGCTTCCCTTTTGTCCCACATATTAATGCTCCCCCATTTTTCTGCAAAGAGGATTGTGAAATTTCTCTCTTTTGTAGCATAAGGTGACTTTCTCCCCACTTTATGCTCTTATAGGGGTAGCATAAACACAATTTGGCCAGTAAGGTTTCCCTTCCAATTCTGCAGTTGCTTCTAAGATACAGTCTGAGCCATTATAGCAGGATATCAGATGTGCACATAGCCAGAGTTTTGTGGAACTCATCAATTTCTCAGACATGCACAGACAGGTGTTCTCTTCAGGTTCTTAGCTGACTTTGGGCAAATGAAAACATTGTGCAACTTACTAAAACGGGAAACTCAGAGATTTGAATTGTCCCGCTGCTTGAAGAAGCAGGCCCACTGGTGAAAGAAAGTGTCCTTGAGTCATTCCTTGTGAATGGGCACAAATATCCA